CTTTCCTTCTGGCACCCACCGCGGTCAGCGCTGCGCAGCCTGCATGCAAAGCTATCCAACCATTCAATTTAACTTATTGCAAGCATATGGCACTGCCGTGCGGACAAGCAATCGAGAGGCGAGAAGCGAGGCATGCCAGCGGGCAAAGGCAGCCCGGCTTACCATCCGTGTCGAATGCAGTGCCCGTTGCCAGCTTGATCATGACATCTGCCTGTAACTGAGAGATAACACCTTCTGCCTTCCACAGGTCTATTGCCAAAGCCAGAAACTTGCTGAAATCAATGCCTGCTTTGCCCAGCTCGCCCTTCAGCCGCGACCGCTCGGAGCGGCTGCCGGCGGCGGCGCACCGCTCAGTGAAGAAGTCCTTGAACTCCTCCCAGAACACGATGGAATGGCAAAAGAACTTGATCTCGTGGGAGTAGCCTGACTGAACGGCGATGGCGACGCGCGCCTGTGGATGTGCTTCACAAAACCTTTCCCACGAGTTGAAGCGCGACTTCAGCTGCTTAGCTTGGTTAGCTGCACCGCTCAATAGCGGCGTTGGACCTAGAGCCTTGCTGCCGGACTGGGCACCATGCTCATGTGTGCTCATGGGGGTTGAGTTCGTTGGAAAAGCGTATTACGGTTGCTGGGATGCCAACAGAACAAACGGGAGGGAGAATGATGCATGATTGAGGATGATGTCCCCAATGACCCTCCAGGTGGGGGGCCATCATGCCCATCATGGGGCACATCCTTACCGGGAGGCCTACCTGGGCCTACCCTTTGCAAGCCATTTCCAGCACCAATGAACTCTTTTATGGTATCAAACATGATGTGGGTCGCTCCCTGTTGGCCCAAATGCGATGTGTCTGGCCCAATCAAGTAAATTGAAGTAAAACCGCCAGCAACAGCCGGCGTAGGAAAGTTGGCGTACGATGCATCGCGATGATTTTGTCAAGCCTGCATTTATTTGTTATCCATTATTAGTGCTGATACCTACATATCAAGGTGCCTAGGCACATGCTGTGCATCGCCATTGCCCAGCAGTTGCTTCTTGGGGGGCAGCTAGCGACGGTTTGCGACGGATGCGGCGGAACCCGCACTGAGGTGGTGGTTGCGTTGGTGCACAAGGTGTCGTCACAATCCCTGTCCTGCAGACGACTCTTCACATCTCTGCCTGCGCAGTGCACCCAGCGGCGGATGCCGCCGGCCGCCGGCGACGCGAGGGTACAGCCGTACAATTGCTCATCTCGATTTCAGGACACGCCCCCGAGCTCAAACGGCCATCCATCATTCCCTGGCTGCATCTGGATTGGCTCTGCAGCTGTGTGGCACGCCATGTGGTTTTGGGTGGCCCTGCTTGGCTTGGTGCTGCTGTGGAGGCTGTTTGATGACAGTCGGTAAGGGTGCCATCCGCCACTCTCATTCTGCAGCTGCCTGCGCGTGTCTCGCCAGCCAGAGCAGATTGGCCAGCCATCACCCCGTGCTTCCGATCGCTCGCCTGGCCTGCCACAAGGCCTTGTGCTATGAAGGCAGTGCTACCGATGGCGACCTGCGGCGCCGGCTTGTATTGTCAGGCTGCCGCCGCCGCCGCCGCCACCGGCAGTGCCGTGCCTCTCCACAGCGCCCGCCACCCCTTGCCCCCCCCTGCCTTGCAGAGAGAACAAGAAGCTGCGCAAGGCGGTGCGCGTGCTGCAGGAGGCGGAGGGCAGGGCCGAGTTCCGGTGCCGCCAGGCGCTGGCTCGCCTGCACGAGATCGAGGAGGCCGAGCTGCTGCTGGAGCAGCAGGTGGAGGCCAACAGCGCCACCAAGGACGAGCTGCGGGCGGACATCCAGCGCCTGCAGGGGGAGGTGGAGGAGTTGAGGTGGGCGAGCCTCAGCTCCGCTCTGCCGCCTTGTGGACACCCGCTGATTTGATATGAAGTGATGTGCTGCATCACCTCTGCTCTGGAGGCCCGGCTGGGGTGCGGCTGGCGAGGCAGCTTTGCCACCCCCTGGAGCCTGCCGCTGCCCACCGCATTGCAGGCAGGGCAAGGAGGCGGCGGTTAAGGCGGCGGCGCAGGCTGAGCTGGACGCCAGGCGTGCGCTGGCCAGCCAGGCGATAGGCACCAAGGCGGCGCAGGCGAGCGGCGGTGCCACGCGCTGCCGCAGAGCGATGCGTGGCATGCAGGCGGCTGCTGGGCGTGGTGGCATGGCCCTTGGGAGCCCAGCAGCGGCTTTGCACACGTCCTGTTTTGTTTCTACCCTGGAGACCGTGGGGCGGCCCTCGACGCCTGCAGCGCTGGCCCTCGCCTCATTCCCCGCTGTCTGCAGGAGGCCCAGCGGCTGCAGCGCCTGGCCGAGGCCGACCGTGCCGACGCGCTGGCCGAGCGCGACCAGGCAGTGGCGGCGCGGCAGGCGGCAGACGAGGCGTGCCAGCAGGTGCGGGCGCGGCCCGCCTCGCCTAGCGCTGCACCGCTGCGGCGCCGCCGCTGCGGGGCGCGGAGCAGGCGGGGCCCACATTTCTGTGGCGGCCACGCACCCCTGTCCCTTCCTGTCCCACCGCACCCTCTCTGGCTATCGTCGTCTTTGACGGTGCCGTGCTTGCCACGTGTGGCAAACCCTTGGCGTGCAGGCCATCGATGAGAAGGATCGGTTCCTGGCCCAGAAGAGTGCAGTGGAGGTCGCGGCGGCAGAAAACGATCGGATTCGCGCCGAGGCGGCGGCGGCCGGGGCGGCGCGGGAGGCGGCGGAGCAGCGGCAGCGCGCCGCCGAGGCCGCCCAGGCCGCCGCGCAGGCCGCGCAGCAGCGGGCGGAGGGCGAGGCGCGGGACGCGCGGCAGGCGCAGGCCGCGGCAGAGGCGGCGGCGGCAGAAGCGGCGGCGCGGGAGGAGGCCGCCGAGGCCGCGCCTGCGCAGGCGGCGGCGCATGCGGAGGAGGAGCGGGAGCAGCTGCAGGGGCAGGCCGAGGAGGAGCGGGAGCGGCTTGAGGGCGAGCTGGAGGAGGCTAGGCAGTACGGCAAGCAGGTGGAGGAGCGGCTGCAGGGAGAGGTGGAGGCGGCGCGGGCTGCCGAGGCGCAGGCTGCGGCCGGCCGGCGCGCCGCGGACCAGCGGGCGGCCGACCTGGAGGCTGCTGCTGCGGCTGCGGCGGCAGAGGCACAGGCGGAGGCGGAGGCTGTGGCCAGCGATGTGGCGGCGCAGCTGGAGGTGGCACGGGCCGACCGCGAGCAGCTTCGGCAGCAGGTGGAGGCGCTGGGGCGGGAGCTGCAGGAGGCCGCCTTTGATAAGGACCAGCTGGAGCGGGAGCTGGAGAATGCCGCGGACGAGCGGCGGCAGCTGCAGGAGGATGCCGACGCCGTGCAGGCGCGTGAGGCTGAGCTGGCGGCTGAGCTGGCGGCGGCACGGCAGGCGCGCGACACGGCAGAGGCCGAGCTGGCGGCCGCCAGGGAGCGGGCCGCCG